CTGACTGACTGACTGACTGACTGACTTATTGACATCAATTCCCACGAGTCTCTGATTCTTACCGAAGAAAATTCATCCATTCCTGTGTAGGCAGAATCAACAAAAAAAGTCTGCATAGCCCTTGTTACTCCATAAGCCATTGGATCTCGGTTGCCATAGGCAATAATGAGCATGATGACCAAGAAGAACAAGTATTGAACCATTTCTTGGATAATGGACTTCATTTGTTTTTGTTTTAATCTTAGCTGGCGTGCCGCTTCTAGTTTCTCTGGGTCTGGAGGCTTGTCGACGAAACCTAATTTCCTTAGAGCTTTCTCGTCATCGGAGTTCTTAACGTTTTTGTGAACGAGTTCCTCATCTTGAGTGAGTTCGCTGCCTTGCTGTTCGGTTTCCTCTTCAGCGTTTTTGTTCGGATCTTTAATGACGAGAGCAAAGAACATGGCGGCAGCAAAAACCTTGAGGGGTTGTGAGATCAGCACGTCTTGCCAAAATGAGATCATCATTGAAGAGATCCAGCCTTCGGATTTTTCCTTGCCGAAAGTGAGGCCGTAGAAGACGGTAAAAGTACCCGAGACTGTAGAAGCAATGAAGATCAGGAAGTACGCCAGATACGCAAATTTGGGATCAAGTTTCTTTGTTTTCTTCTTTGTCTTTTCTGCTTTAGCTTTCTTATCCTTGCTCTTGTCATTTGCTTCTTCTACGTCATTATCATCATCATCTTCGTCGATGTCGCTCGCGTCTTCGGTGATTACTTGTATTTCATCATCGGGTTTATATTTGTCTCCCTGTTGATGGGGGTCTTTCTCCTTATCTTCTTTCTTCTTAGTAGGATCAGGAGGACGAAGCTTGCGGAAGATAGTGACCACAATGATGTTAACGGGCAGAACAACCAAGCTGCTTGTAATGCCAATGGATATCTGTTTAATCGAGAAGCTGAAGGGTCCAACATGGATAGAGGTACCTGAAGAAGACTCGTCGCCAGTCTGATAAAACATGGCGTTGGCCAACATCGTCGTGAGAATAACAGACAAACAACAAGATAAGCGCTGGACACGAGTGAACGTGCTCTTTGGAGGGCGTGCCACTACGGAGAACCACAGATGGTTATCGGTGAGATTCTTGCGCGCCTCCGTTGAAAATAGAAGGTTGAAGCTAGTGAGTTCTTCCTTGGTGGCTGTCTGAAGTGTTCTGTCGATTTGCCCATCATCTTCCTCTACTGCAAGCCATCGAAGATTAACGAACCATGTCTTGGTGTCTGTCTGTAAGTCTCGCACCATCACCCGGGACAAGAACCAGGATGGGTTACTACCCGTGTTGTTATGCCAGATGCGAAGTTGCTTGAGTTTGCCTAAAGAATGCGGAACTGCCAATAAGAAGTAGTCAACGGCTCCACGAAGGAATTTCACTCGTGTTGGCTCAGGATCCTTTAGTTGCCTTGGCGACGTCTCGTCCAGTCCACCTGTAAGAATCATGTAGACTTCAGATGTAGTACCAGCCTCCTTTGCGTGACCCGTATAGATTACGATCTCGTACAGGTAGTTATCCCGCGGGTCGTTGTCGGGCAGAGGTGTCAGACCAACCTATGAAAAAAATTTCAATTGACTTTATTTATTTATTCATATTTATTATCTTTACAACTAGTTATGAATAAGTAAACACGAACAACGGAAACAAGAGAAACTAGTTGAGGTAAACAAGAACAGAATAAGAGTCCCATATTATCATTGTTCCTCCAATATAAAGCTCCTTTGTTTACATTACGGTCTGGTGTGGTTAATAGAAGCATAGTAAGTGCAGGGAGGTGCTTTTCTTATATGGGGAGTAGCGTATAAGTAGGTTTTTAACTGGATATGGGTAGGTAGGCAAAGGACAGTATAGGTAAGTTAATAAGTGGATAGATTGGTAGGAAGGTAGGAAGGTAGGAAGGCAGGAAGGCAGGAAGGCAGGNTGATCTAAGTCAGTGCATGGCTAACCCACAGAATAAATCAAAATTTGAGAGAAAAACTCTTGAATCAATGGAAATACTGAAACTCTACTTACAGTACATTGGATGTCAAGTACAGGAATTTAACCTGAGAACCCAGAGGCGAGAGGAGAGTGCACTAACACAGCACTGCCCTTGATTCCCAAGACATACTGTCTCTAACCAAATAACTGTATGCATTCTCTTGTTCAATTATTTAGAAGTCTAAGAATRGTCCATCATATATGTACAGTGTACTCAAGATGTTTGTCCAGGCATCTAGCAACAAGATAAAAAGCAAAGCTAAATGCCTCATCATCAAGGTAGGTAAGAGTCGAGGTCATAAACGGTGGTGGTGGGTTCTGGTGGTGGGTCCCGATACATACCCCTCCCCCCCAGAAACCTGTTCAAATGGGTCATTCTCATAAGAATAAGATTTTTATCATAAGTGGTATTCAAATTCAGGCGTCTTCTCATACACAACTGTTAAACAAAGAAATGATACTCTAGGGAATGACACGTGGTCTGAAATGGAAAAAATATTACGCCCAAGGTAAAGAGGTGGGTCTATTGACCCAATACAATTTTTAACTTGAGAAATATCTTCACCAGTTCCTTCAGGACACAGGAATCATCAGCGAGGATCTCACCGAGGTGGACACTTGGTTGAAACACCTCAACATGCCTGCCTTCGAGCATCACAAGGAAACTCTTCTTGTGTTCCTGGATTCAGTCTGTCACTCGGTTGCCATGGAGCCATACACTTATACTGAGGTTGTCATGGAGATGACTTCAGAGGCCAAAGCTCGTCAAGCAAAAAGAGAAAAGTTTTCTTTGTTGTTGAATGTGGATAATTATCTGCATGAGCCAAGGTAACTAGTCTAAGTTGCTGCTGTTGCTGCTGCTGCTGCTGTTGCTGCTGCTGCTGTTGTCGCTGTTGTTGCTGCTGCTGTTGTTACGGCTGTTGTTGCTGTTGTTGTTGTTACTGTTGTTGTGTTTGCTTTTGCTACTATAGAATTGCTTTATGAAGCAAGGGAAACCCTATAATTGATTTTCCGTCATCAACTTTTCTTRAGTTTTTGCTTCTGTCCATTATTTCTTAGTGGTCTGTAAAAAGTTTGCAGAATAGTTAAAATTGCTTCATTTATCTTTTGGTTTCAGGGTTGCGTTCAGTCCACTGATAGTCAGAGCATTGATGGCGCATACACAAATGATTTCTGTGAYGCAAGACAAATATACAAACGATCAACTATGTAAGTAATTGGATATTAACCTGGAGGGATTTCAAGAGGAACAAGAAAGAAGGGAAGAAATAGAGAGAATTGAAGGGATTGAAGGAAGGAAGGAAGGAAGGGAGGAAGGGAGGGAGGGAGGAAGGAGGAAGGAAGGAAGGAGGGAGGGAGAATAACAGTACTTCCACTGAGCGGCTTTTCTTCCACCTGAGAAAAAACCTTCGGAAGGTAGGAAGGTAGGAAGGCAGGAAAGTAGGAAGGTAGGAAGGTAGGAAGGTAGGTATATAGGTATGTTATTAGATTAACAAACTAAGAGTGTGGGAAGAAAAAGATGGGAAGATAAGTCAGGTGAAATAAAAACTTGTTTGTGAAGTAGGTGTTGTTACTGACATCTTTTAAAGTATCACGAAATGACTCACCTTATCAAGGTCTTTCTTGTCTGCTCGTCTTGCCCATATCAGCAGAATAAAGTACATTCCAAATATCACCATGACGACTATGAATACAATGGGGTTGTTCAACAGTTCATCCAGGCTAATCTTACTCCAGTCGATCTTGTTTGGGGGAACAAAGAAATCTCCTGCGAAGGATGTTGCGTGTGTTGTGAAACACTGTGTTACAAATCTGGTTGTTGCAGGACCAACCTGATGTAAATAAGATCCACAAATTGGATTTAGAAAGACAAAAACCAGATTGATGTAATGACCCAACGATCAACCGACCGACCGACAGACAGAAAAAATTACACGAGGGATGCTTAAAACAACCCTCCTTGCCTTCTTTATTGCCCCTCATGCACATCACATGAAAGAAAGCACGGGAATCCCGCAACTATGCCCTGCTTGGCCATTAATGTATTTTTAAACCATCTCCCCTCCCTTCACTGGAAAAATCTATCTATTTGAAATGTTGGAAATATTTGGACATTTTTCCATACCATGGATCTGTCCAAAAGGTTCAAATCGATACATTTTTCCAATGTCATATCACATGAACTCCCACATCACATGAACTTCCCCCAGATCGCTCGGGAATCCCGCAAACATGTCCTGTCCTACATGGCCATATTAACGTACCTTTAAACCAGCATCACTAAATTTACCAGTGGTCTCATTCAAGAACATACAGGCTGCAGTGAACATGGATATGTTGTACGATATTGAAGCACCATCGCCCTCCTCCGGTGAATTGTACCCTCCCTCTTCGCAGACAGCAAGCTTCCAAGTCCCAGCTGCAGTGTTATTCAGCTCGTCATTCGACATAAACATCATAAAGCGACTTTTGTCTTTCTCGGTGGCGTTAACTTGGGTGTCATTGGGAGACAAAGTGTAGTTAAAGTCGTGAAGGAGTTTGGTTGGTCGGTCGCCACGACGGAGGTACAACATGATGGTGACGTTCGGATCCGAAGGAATAGTTTCCACAAAAATAGAGCTGTGATTCTTTGGTACTTCAAGCAGATGATAATTACACTCTYTGGGATTGAGCTGATGGGCCGTCATGTTGATTGTCTGCCCAGTTTGTTTTATACTCAGTTCGAACGCCTTTGGAGTGTCCTTAACTAATTTATCGCTTCCATCATCATTTCCGAGTTTAAAGGATATCAGTGCTCCCGAGACATCTGAGGCACCGTCCGCCCATCCGTATGGGTTATTATTGAATGAGAAGAGCTGGAATACGATTCATAGAAAGCAATTACTATCACTGAGGTGATTTGGAATCTAGGAGTGCAATGCATTGTTTGACACGGCGAAAATTTCCGAGTATTTTCTATTGCCACTTGTCAAAATGAAATTTTGTCCATCGACAACGACAAAAAATACTATTCCTAAAAGATATTTGATTTAACAGATCAAAAACAGTTTTCCGTGTTTGATACTCTGATCAAAACACGCGGGATGTTGGGAGAACACGAGAGGAGCGTAGGAA